CTCAGTTGACCTACTGGAATTCCTGGGTTTGGATTAAATGGTTTATCTCCAACCTCAGGCCCTGTTCTGTCAGTCACCATATTTAGATTAGATTTTATAACCACTGGTTGGGAGTTCACTAACAATTCTAGTCTTGGCCTGCCTATGGGGGAAAAAAATCTCCCCGTTCAGATGGGCATATCCTAAAATGGAACAGAAATGCATGACTTGACTAGGGACGAGTGGGAGTGTGGTTGGTGGTGGGCAAAGTTCATGTGAAACATTTCTCCAATGTCTGTCTTAGGTCTTAAACCGTGCGCCGGGTCGAAGTTTGTAAAATTCCTATTGAGGAGGGAAGGAAAGGAGGGAGGGTTCAAAAGAGTACATTAATCCTTCCAATTTAATATTTCGCCGCCATTCTTCTGCTTTACAAGCTGTCGAAAGAACGATCTCACTCATAGACCCGAATGGTTTGCTATTTATAATGTATCTGAGAAGAGAATAAAGTCAACTTGTGGTGTGTGTGTGTGTGTGTGTGTGCGTGTGTGTGAAGGGGGCAGAGGGTTAGTTAACCAGCACAATCCTTGTAAGATTAAAGCATTGCTTATTGCAAATAAGTGCTGGAATTTGAGATATCTTGAGGTTTTTTTCCGCTCCCTTCCCCCCGCCCCCCGCCCCCACCCTGGTTCCCCCTGTGACTGCAGACGGAAGCTTTCAGTCTGCTTCAGCTCTGCTTAGTGCAAACTGTCTTCCTGTTTCTCTCTCTCTCTGCTCCGCTCTGCGTGTTGTTGCCTTTTCTCCGGCCTCTGGGTTTTACCTTATAAGGAAAGCGAGTGCGGCGCTGTCAAGAGTGAGCGAGCGGGCGGGCGGACGGACGAGGGAGGGAGGAAAAGGTGGGGTCTGAGCTCTACAAACTGACCCTGAAGCTCCACACGCTCAGCCAGGGACTTGCTTCCCTCTTAAAGAGGGAGCGTTGACTAATCCTGTCAAACTGCTGACATCCTTTCATTGCCGCTGTTGTGAAGGGGATGGGGTGCGGGGAGGGGAACGAGACGGTTGGGGTGGGGGGAGACTTCCCTGCTCGTTCCCCGGTGCAGTTAATAAACGAGGTGAGGGGTTTCCAGGTTGAGGCTGACAGTTGGCACCGGAAGCAGTTTGTAACGTGTGGTGTCGCCACGTGTACAGCTGAGTAATCCATCAATCGATTGGGCTGACACCGTTCCATCGATCAGATCAGATCCCGGGATCTTTAACATCCACCTGAACAAGCGGAGGGAACCTCGGCTTAACTTTTCATCCAAGGGTGGCGCTTCTAACCCCCAGCACCGCACTGGAGCGTCAACCTAGACCGTGCGAGTCCAAAGCCCTGACGTGGGGCTTGAACTCACAACGTTCTGCCTCCGAGGCGAGAGCGCTACCAACTGAGTCTATCCGATCACCCTGATAGCAATAATAACCCTTGCATGTGATATAGCACCTTATCACATCGTTGGGACGCCTCAAAGAGCTTCACAGTATATGTCGCAAAGTGAAGTGACTGCGTGCTTTTTGGGTGAAATGGTGTCCGCGCTCTTGTCTCTGCATCAAATTAAAGGAGGCCGATACATAGATATTGGCCTCCCTGAGTCTCGATGGTGCTTTCTCATCTCTGGTCGGGCTCGTGAGACCCAGGGATGTTTGTGGAATTTTATGAATTCAAACAGGAAGCCTCGAGGTGGGTCAAAGGTCCTTTGCTTGTTGGAGTGATCGGCATTCAGTGTTTATCTGGGGAACGTCCCAGTTCCCAGCTCTCTTAAGTACGTTTTATTTATTGATTTGAGCTCTTAAGTGCTTGGGAAGTAAGGGGACGTGAGATTAAAAACCTGAAGAGTTGACGGACTGAGCTCCTCTGTGTTGGATATGTGCCCAACAATCCCCCTCTCACCCCCCCCCCCCACCTACCCCCCACCTACCCCCCTGCCCCTTCATGTTGTGGGTTCCTAAAATGACCACCTGAACAAGCCAAATTCTGTTTAATGTCTCATTCCGAAGGGCAGCACCTCCTGACCATATAGCATTCCCACTGCTCTACATTGGACTACGAGGGAGCTCAAGTGCTGACGTGGGGCTTGAACCTACAACCTTCTGACCCAGGATGGAGAGTGCTAGAAACTGAGGGTGATATTCGACTCCCTGCCCCTTCCCCTTTGAGACTGTTCTCAGTCAATTGGAATGTTTTTCTTTCTCGTGATGTTTTTTCAGGATAATTAGTAACTTGGGGAGGTTGGGGTGGGGGGAGGATGCTACATGGGCTGTGTGTGAGGACCTTTCGGATGGGAACTGGAGGCTGTTTCACACAGGCTCAGTGCTCTGCCCCTGACACATCCTCTTGTTCGTTCAAGTCATTCTGTTTGATTCAACAATTTACATTGTGCTTTTCACTTAAAAATAAACATCTCAAGCTGCTCGGTCCACAGTATTCCAGGACACTGAGGCTGACAGAACCAGAATGGTCAGCCTGGCTCGTTGGCAGGACTTGGCTATTTCCAATTCATCTCCTATTATCCCTGCAAACCAAAGCCCTAATCCTGGCTGGACAAGCTTGACAAACAGTCCTCTTAATAGCAAGCTATGCAAGCTATTTTAGTTACCCCAACGCACACGCCGAGCTCCTCAAGCCTTGGCTCTCGCCAGCCTGTGCTTAATACTATCTGGAATTGGGTAAGCAGATGCACATCCCGTTCCACACAGAGGACATGTCCACACATGGTACATATGTGGAACTCTGTCTGGATTGGAGACTCTGATACATACGGAAACCCTGATACATACGGAAACCCTTCACCGCGCTTAAGACACCTGGCTGACCAGGAAAAGGTGCTTCACAAATTGCAGTGGATCAGAGTTGAAGTGAATGACAAATGTGGCTAATTCATTGGAATGTAACTGGGATGGGATTGATTCCCCTAATGGCCTGTGTGACCCTATCTCAGGGACACCTACCCCTCTGCCCAGTGACTACAGGTCTTTGGGGTGTGCGGGGTAGACGTGTGGTGGGGGGAAGAAGAACAAGAGATAGACCTCACAGTACCAAGCCACATTTGGAAGGTCACTGGCTTTAGCCCTCGCCTGAATTGCTGGTTCTCTCTCGTTGGTGCTCTGCCTGTGAGCTCTGTGTCAAGCTGACTCCGTGTAAAGTCAAGCGGTGGGCAGGGAGATGAACCAGAACTGAGAGGTAGAAAAGTAGTGAGAACTTGTCCCTTTGTAGCACCTTTATACTGTCAATTTCTCAACGTGCTTTATGACTCTCTATTGATGTTAGTCCAACTCCCTCGTGCTGTCAGAGAACCCCCCAACCCCCCAAATACACACACACAAGCCTTAACACACGCACATGTACGCACACACACACACACACACACACAAAAGAGCCTTATCGCATTGCCTCAGTAATTGCCGTCAAGCATAGCGATCGGTTTTGTTGGCCAATGCATCGGCCAATTCGCGCTAACATTACACTGGGCATTGCTCAGAATTTTGAGCTCAAGTCATGACCATCCCACACCCCCACATCCCCTCGCTGGAGGTGAGAAGGCTGCTGAGCTCGTTCTGGTGTCAGAAATGTGGCTTGACGCGTTTCAAAAATATTTTCGGCGTAAGCGAAATTTTTTCGGCCAAAATGGCTGCCCACTTTGAATGAATGAGGAGCAGTTTATGGTAACGTTTCGGAGATCAGCAAAGCCTGAGCTCCTCTGCTCTGTCAGTAGAGGATGTGGTCTGTTCTTGGGTGAAATATTCATTTCCTGTCTTGAAAGCCCCACAGGAAGAGGAAGAAATCTGGGATGTAGTGACAGAGGAAGCTGCAGAAGTGGAATGCTCTCCCGGTGACCAAACGACTAAACAATCACGCTTTTTTTTGTATAAGAAACTGTTTTACATTCAAGCGCATCACTGACCTCTACTCACACCCCCGCCTCCCCCCCCCCACCTCCATCCTGCCTATCTGTGAACTGGAGGAGATTGGGTACAACTGTACCCTATGAGTAGAAAAGCTTCGTGTTGCATTAATATTCATAATCATCCTTGCATTTGGCGTCGGGAGGACATATTTAAGCGCTTCATGGGATTCACTGTAAAGTGCAGTGACTCTTATTTTAGAGACGAATGCAGCCGCCAATTTGCGCTCAGAAATGTGCCACAAACGGCCACAAAGTGAATCGCACAGCGCAGTTGTGAGCTTTCGGCCACCGGGACACCAGACCAGCAAGGACTGAAAGTCTCACCCTTGTTACTGTTGGCCAGAAGATCCAATAACATTGACCAGAATTGATCCGCTCTGATCCCGTTTGCCAAGCACCGTGCCTCCTGCAGTGGTGAGGCTCCCGAGCCGTTCACTTGCTGGAGCTGGTGCTGTGCGCGATCATTCAGAAGAGGTGATGTGCAAAGACTGGTTATTATTATTATTATTACTGGTGACTGAGGACTGCTGTCAGCTGGTCTTTGTTTGGACTGTGGGGCACGAGGATATTTCTCAGGCTGTCGAGGGTACAAGGAAAGGGGTGGTCCTCGCCTCTGCCAAGCTTACTCTCTGGGCTGAGATCATTGGGCTCTGTAGTAATAATAATAATAATCCTCGTTATTTCACATTTCGTATAACGCCTTATCACAAACGGGGGACGCCTCAAAGCGCTTCACAGGATTTACAGCAAAATGGAATTGCTCTGTATTTGTCGGCAAACACAAGCAGCATAATTGCACATAGCAATGTCTTACAAACATACATTGAGTAATGATTTTGGGGTTTGTTGGTCAGCACATTGAGAGCAACTCCCTTCTCTTTTCGATTGGGTTTCTTTAATGTCCACCTGAACAGGCAGACTTGACCTCGGTTTAACGTCTCATCTGAAGGACCGCACTCCTAACGAGGGACTTGAACCCACAACCTTCTGGCTCGGAGGCGAGAGTGCTACCAACTGAGCCAGGGTGACACACTCAATGGTTAGGTGTAAAGATCTCACCTCTTGTCCTCTTGTCTTCTCTAGGCAGAGGGTGATGTCGCTGGACTCAACAGACGGATCCAGCTGGTTGAGGAGGAGTTGGACCGGGCACAGGAACGTTTGGCCACCGCCCTGCAGAAGCTAGAGGAGGCGGAAAAGGCAGCGGACGAGAGTGAGAGGTGAGCCACGTTTGGGAGACTTGGCTTGACTCGACCCAACATAATAATTCTTCTATATAACGTACAGTACGGATCCTTGCATTTGGTACAGCACCTTTCACATCGGGAAGATCTCCCTAAGCTCTTCATGGGATTTACTGTAAAGTGTAGTGACTGTACATCAGGCAGCATATTTTGCATGTGGCAATGTCCCCTAAATGGACAACTTTATTTGGGTGGGTGGTGGGGGTTGTTGGCGGGTAGGGTATAATTCGTTGGGTATAATGTTTGCAGACTCAGGGAGTTCCCTACAGCAGTGGTTTGCCTGCATGTGCCCTGTGTTGTACTGTGGGCCAGTTTGGGGGATGGGTGTTAGATATGGTGTGTGGTACTCTAGATTCCTGACCCTTGGGCACATATTCAAACTGCCCTACAATTTCCCATTCAGTCACCTTGTTTGGGGGTTTGGGAGGGAAGCCGATTGCTGTGAGGCACAACGCTAATGTCTCTTGTACTTGTCTGTTCGACAGAGGCATGAAAGTCATTGAGAACCGCGCGATGAAGGACGAGGAGAGAATGGAAATCCAAGAGTTGCAGCTGAAGGAGGCGAAACACATTGCGGAGGAGGCTGATCGCAAGTATGAAGAGGTGAGCAATGATTTGCAGCGTCCGTTATCGGCAAACCATTCAGGAACAACGCCAGGGTCCCTGTTCCGTAACCATCGCCTTTCCACATGCGTCCGTTAGGTCGCCCTCTGGGTTAGAAGTGCGCGAGTTCAAGCCCCATTTGAGCGGGTTATTTGTACAAATAGTGTCAGGTTGTCAATGTCTCTAAAGCACTTCACGGGATCGTCGCTATAAGGGGTAAGGACTAGCGTGCACACAGAAGAGTTCCACCTTGTTGAGTTGAAGCTGGAGAGGATGCAGGAGTCCTGCGACGGTGTGAGCGGTGGTCCCGGGGCTGCTACTGGCTCCTGCCTTGCTTGCTGGGTTCTGACTTGGGTTCTCTTTGCTCCGCGTAGGTTGCCCGTAAACTCGTCATCCTGGAGGGGGAGCTGGAGCGCGCCGAGGAGCGGGCTGAGGTCTCGGAGATGTAAGTCGCCGCTTGCGTGAGCTCAACATTTACCGAAACTCCAACCCATGATCTAAATATGGAAAAAAAAACCTCCATTATTATTTCAGGGCGTTGGCTCGGGGAGCCAGGGAATAATGAATCATTTTTTTCTATTTTTATTGTAAAAAAAAGTTTAAAAAATCCTCAGTTCCTTTTTAAATATAAGAGTTGGGTTAGTTAGTTCCTGAAACCAATGGCACCTGCTACCAAACTGTTCCTTTGCCAAAAAATGGACTAACCGAAACAGTGCATTCTCTAAAGTGCTTTTTTTCCTCCGCTTTCATTTCCTTTCTTCATTCCCCACCCCTTCCCTTTTTTTCTCCCACTTTTTCCCACTCCCACCTTCTTCTCATCCCCCGGTCTTCAAATTACTGAGACGGTTCTTAAGATTTTCAATCAATTGCTGCTGCCGTCCGGGTTTGGGAAGGGGGAAGAGCCCTGATCGGGTGCGCACCTTGGTTTATGACTGGCAAATGAGTTTCAGTACCGATAGATAAAGCTGCATCCAGGAAGTAAAACTGGGGAGGTCTGCAATAAACAGTTTGAACTTACCAAGGAGGAAGCTGAAATAGACGCAGAGGGTTAGTTGACTCAGGGCTCGTTATATCAAAACTGTGTGAGGCAGCAATGACCGAGGCAAACGGGATCCTGGGCAATCTCGTCACACCAGTTGAGCTCCCAATCACCCAGAAATATGCTCATAAGGTGTACAGTGCTCAGGTCTGGCCACATCTACAACAACAACAAGATTACATTTGCATAGGGCCTTTCACGTTGGGAGGACATCCCAAGGCGCTGGACGGAGTACAGCATTTCAGAACCGAGCTGGGGTTGGGGGGGGGTGTAAGTGGAGGGGGGGGGGCGATGATATGGTCGAAGAGGAGGGTCTTGAGGCGGGACTTGAAGGAGGCTCAGGAGGGGGTGAGGCGGAGTGACTGGGGGATGGAATTCCAGAGGTTGGGGGCAAAGTGGCTGAAGGCTCTCCCGCCAATGGTGGTGTGGGTGGGTCGGGGGACATGGAGCAGGCCGGAGCCGGCTGAGCGGTGGGAGCGGGCGGGTTGGTAGGGAGTTAGGAGATCGCAGAGGTAGGGTGGGGTGAGGCCATGGAGAGCTTTGTATGTGAGGACCAGGATCTTGAACTGGATCTCTGAAGGATAGGGAGCCAGTGGAGTCGGGCGAGAATGGGGGAGATGGGGTCCTGGAGTTTGGTGCGGGAGAGGACAAGGGCTGCAGAGTTCTGGATTATCTGCAGCCTGTGGAGGGAGGAGTTGGGAAGGCCGACAAGCAGGGTGTTTGCGTTGTTGAGTCTGGAGGTGATGAAGGCATGAACACGAGTTTCAGCGGCCTGAGGGGTGAGGCAGTGGTGGAGTCGGGCGATGTTATGGAGGTGAGGGAAGGCAGAGCGGGTCATGGCTTGAACGTGGGGGAGAAAAGACAGTTGAGTGTCGAACAAGACACCCAGGTTCCTGACTGGCTGGTGAGTTGTAGTGTGCAACCATGGAGGTTGATGTTGCCAGAGCCCAAGATGCTGAGGCGCTGGCGCGACCCAATCAGGAGGGCCTCAGTCTTGTTCACATTCAACTGTAGGAAATTTGCCCTCATCCAGGACTTGATGTCCGACAGGCAGTCTGTCAGCACAGCAGTGGTCCTGGAGTTGAGGGTACTACAGTACTGTATACAATTCTGGTCACCATAACAGGGCTATCCAGCCCCTAGAGACAGTGTAGAAGAGAGCAAAGGGGATGATCTCAAGTGTTGGAGGGATGAGCTGTGAGTAATGATTGGATTAGGTAGCGCTCTTCAGCTTTGAAGAGTCGTCTCAGAGAAGACCATACAGAAGTACTTAAGGTTCTAAAAGAGTAAACCCAGAATAATGCTTCCAGTTAGGTCAAGATAATCGGACAAGAGAGCACATCTTTGGGTTATGGAGAGTGGATTTAGGACAGTAAATTCAAAACACGTAAACGGTATTTCCTTACATAGTAGTTAACAGCTGGAATGGGTTAGCAGGAAGGATGTGCAGGACTTGTGTATGAAACTGTACAAGATGAGATGTACAAGATGAGTTTATAGAGTTCAGAATGTGAGAGGTCTGCAGAGTTGTAACACATTTGAAGAGGTGTCATTGGGTAACCACGAGAAAAATATCCAGATTAGTAATTGGTTCACGGGTGGGGGGCACGGGGAGGTGAAGAGAGAGGAGGCGGGTTAGTAATACTGGGGTAGAAAAAGGGTGAGAGGAATGCGGAGGAGGAAAGAAAAGGTGGGTTAGTAACGGAGGGGAGGAGGTGCATGAGAAAGAGAGGCAAGTGTTGGTCCTTTAATTCCACACCAATCTGGATCTAAACGGAGCTGCAATTTGCGGACCTTGTTGGCAGTTGTGGGCGTTGATGTTGCTGAGCGTGTGACATCTCCTGTCTAACCCCAACTCCTCTCTGTACATAGGAAGTGCGGCGACTTGGAAGAGGAGCTGAAAAACGTTACCAACAACCTCAAATCCTTGGAGGCTCAGTCTGACAAGGTGAGGGTGTTGCACGTCTGCAGTGACTTGTAATAAATGCGTGACCATGGCAATGTGTGTTGACTTGCTGTTGGCTTGGGATTCCCCGTTGGAGCCCCTGCATGTATATGTTTAAGCTCCGGGGCACTACCCTACGTGAAGGACTCTATATAAATGGTGTTGTTATATGTGGATATGGCCGAGAGCCTGATAAACAGGGCAGTGATGAGAGACGTCTCCCACCCCTGCACTCCTATTGCTAAACACAACAGCCGCCAAGGCTTCCTATCCAGTGATTATCCCAAAGATCCAAAGATCAGTTCAGGTGAAGAGGATCCTTCAAGCCTCCCCGATCTCAGATTTCCAGAGCGCTCACCTCACAGCATTGAACCGTTTACTTCCTTTCCGATTAAGCTGCTCGGTTCATCCAGCCAATTTCCACTGGTGGTTGATTTGAGAGCACGATTTTAATTTAAAACTAAAATGGGGGTGGGTAGGAGTGGAAATTCCAGAGGAATTTGATGCCTTGCTGTGGGTTAGGCATTTCTGTGGTTCTGTCTGGCTACCGTCAAGTTACTGAGCTGGTTTCGTGCTACACGGTGATGGCTTTTGAAGTTGGTGATAGGTCTGCCCACACCCACATCTTACCTCCTGTCTCAGCGACACCATCTCACACTTCTCCTTTCCCTGCGCAGATTTGGGGAACTCTTATGCTGACGTAGGAGGGAAGAAAGACTAATTTTTCCAAAAGAGTGGTTTTGGGGATGGTTGGCGGTGGTGGGGAGAGAGCTTTATATATGAGGAAATGAAAGTTAGATCGGTTTTCACGTTGGGAGGATGTCTCAAAGCACTTCACAGGATTTACTGTATGTTTATAGGAAAACGTGGCAGTCAATTTGCACACAGCAATGTCCCACAAACAGCCATGAAACCAATGACTAGATTTATTTGGGGGATTGTTGCCTAGGACACCGGGGGGAACTCTCTTCTCTTGACGAGTATTGCCATGGGATCTTTAACATCCCCTTAAACCGAGGTCCTATTTGCCTGTTCAATGTCTCATCTGAAGGATGGTGCCTCCTACAATCCAATGCTCTGGCTTCACCAACCAGGGCAGGAGTTAGTTCATCTGTGCGCTGTGCGTTCTCGGTAGGGTTGTGTTTCCGACTAACATTGGTGTTTGTGTGTTGACAGTACTCTGAAAAGGAAGACAAGTATGAAGATGAGATCAAGGTTCTGTCTGACAAGCTGAAGGAGGCAAGTATTAATAAAAGAGCTTTACTCCTCCTCTTCTGCCCCCTCCCCCCGCCACCCTGAGTGCTGACTTCTGTGCCCACCACCCCCCGCACACACCCATCACCAGTTTGTCTCCGCTCATCACTGACTGTAGGCAATGTTGACCCCTTCAGTGTTCCAGGCTTTGTCTGAATTCTGGGTTTGGTTTGCAGGCTGAGACTCGCGCTGAGTTTGCTGAAAGGACAGTAACCAAATTGGAAAAGACGATTGATGACCTGGAAGGTATGAAATTTGTCTCTAGATTTACTGAGTCAGGAGTGTGTGTGTATGTCTTTTCTCTATTGGTCTCCCTCTTGGTTCTACCCCTCCCCCCCACTTATAATCTCTATTTCTATCTCTAGGGGAACAGCCAGTTATACTACACTGAGTCAATAAAGTGTAATAATCTGATTGAAAACAGTCCCTTCATTTACTTTTTACGCCCCTTCCTTCTTCCCCTCCCACCCCCCCACCGAAAAAATCCAAATTTGAGTCCTAACTGTCCCATGAACATCTCGTGTCTGTAACTTGGGCAAACTGGCCTTGGTATCTCCAAATTGGTGCTATTGTCATCCCAGCACCTACGTCTCCTATGGGACATGATGAGCTCAAGTGGGCTGCAGTGGTCAATTCCGGTCTTGTATGATCCCCAAGGTCGTGGGACGTGGGACTGTTGTGTGGAATTTGCTATTACACGCAGACTCTCCCAGTGACCAGCACCAGGAGAGATGTATAGGGGTGCATTGTGAGCCAGGTTGAAGAGAAAGGTATTCAGCATTATCTGCAAATGGGGAAGGAGGGGGCAAGGCAGAGGGATTGAGGGAGGGAGTTGTAAAGTTTCAGGGTGTAGTGGCTGAAAGAAAGCACGGCAACCGATGGTGGAGCGGAGGGGATGAGGGACAAGCAGGAGGCTGGAGCCACTTTTACAGCCAGAGGTGGTGGGTGTTGCCGTGGGGAGTAAGCAGGTAAAGTGTAGTGACTGTGTTTTGTAGACGGACGGTAGGTTTAATACCAAACACGATTCCCTCAAACAGGGCAGCAATCTGCATGAACCTCAGAGCAGCTTTTGACTCATAACTTTTTCGAACCAAAATCGAATTATTTTTATGTTTGTTTGAAGTGTTTTGAATTTCTATTTATTTTAAATTTCTCTTTCCCCTTGACTTTTGCTTCCCCAATAATCTCTTTGCTTTTTTTTTTCCACTTGTCACCTTTCGCTCATTTTTCCTTTTCCGACCCACATCTTTTGTCATTTCCATCACATAATTCTTGTTGTGTCACAATTTTACGTTCGTTTCCTCCGGAACCTCTGGCTGCCTGCCTGCCCCTTGTTCTTCAATCTCCAGATGAACTCTATGCCCAGAAGCTGAAGTACAAAGCTATCAGTGAGGAACTAGACCATGCCCTCAATGACATAACCTCCTTGTAAATGCCCTTCATTCTCCTTCCCGTCAACTTTGGCCCTAGTGCATTTCACTCGTCTTAATTTTACTTCCTTTAAACCTCTGCTAATCTGTACCATTTTAGCATTCAGCTCTTTACATCAGCGTCCTCTCCTGTTGACCTTGCTGTCCATTCTCTCTTGTATGAAAATAAAATAATACTTGGAACTTTCTTCTTCACTCTCGTCTGTTTCTCCTCTGTACTTTGCCTGCTTTGTACTTGCTCACAATCTACATCTGATGCAAACACTAGTCAAAGGGAAGGGTAGGTTGGGCTTGTCGGCCTTTGCACCTCTCTCAACCACCTTTACAGATAGTGCATACCAATCCCTGGGTCTCTCTGCTCTTCTACTCCTAACGTGCTTTTTCTATATCCCCTCTCCTTATTTTTCCTTGGAAAATGTTTCACTTCACACCTTGCTGTATCACATTTAATCTGCCATCTAAATAATAATAATCCTTGCATTTGATATAGTGCTTTTCACGTCATCTAGACGTCCCAAAGCGCTTCACAGAATATACTGTATATTTGTGGGCGAACGCGGCAGCCAATTGCGCACAGCAGTGTCCCACAAACAGTCATGGATTGAAAATGACCAATTTATTATTGTTTTGTTTTGTTTTTTTGGAGGGATTATTATTAGGCTCTGTGTGGAGTAAGGAAACTTGCCCAAGGTTTCGCCCTCTGCCGGGAATTGAACCCAGGTCTCTCACTTGCAAAGCGAGTGCTCTAACCACTGAGCTACAGGACTCCACAGGACTCTGTTGTGCACACACCATTAGTCGCTCTGGATCCTCCTAAAGTTGCTTACAATCCTCTCAGCATTTGGTAGCTGAGAGAAGACTCAAATCATGACTGGGAGCTAGGATTCTTCCCAAAACAAAACTTTAATGGGTAGGATGGTCCTAGCTGGACCAGCAGCGAGAAGCTTGCTAGACAGTGCTCTCAAAATTTACCTGGTTAAGCTCTAGCAATACCACAACGCGCACCTAATACTCTCTGGAATTACATGAGCAGGGTGCATCCCTCCAAGGAGAGAGTGCGCATTCCATTCCGGACATGGAAATTTCCACGTGTAGGTTACATACATATTTGGAACTCTGTCTGGTTTGGATACGCTTCAGCAGGGTGATGGGTTTCTGAATGTGTCAAGACATCCAGCCGATCCCCCCCAAAAATCATCCATTTGTCGTACCCTCTGTAACATTTCTGTTAAGATCACGTAACAACAAAAACTCTTTGACACTTATACGGCACCTTTCACACCAGGAGAATGTGCTTCACGGAGCTGTGTAGGAGACACTACCACCCTTTAATTACTTTAACAAACGGGAAATGCACTTGATTTTCTGAAATAATTTCTATTCCCCAATACAATGCTGTCCCTTGGTTCTCTTTCTCTTTGCCCCCTCATCTAAAGTGTTTCGGAGCCTCACCAACTCCATTTATTGCCTATCTAGACACTGTGTAACACACCAAGGAGCTCCCATTGCGATGAGGATGCTCAGCTCTCAGCCACACAGCGTGAAGTGAAAGTGAGCTGATCTTTCAAAGTGTGAATCGTGCACAGTTCGGAAAGACTTGGACTCCCAATGCAAAACAAGTTTACATTTATGTAGCCACTTTCATCTTGAGGATGTCCCAAAGGGCTTAACAATAATGGCTGGGCACCTGAGCTGGGTGGCGTCCGCCAATGTTGGGAAGGGGGGGGTGACATGTAGAGGGGAGGGGAGGGACCTGCTGAGCAATTACAGAGTGATTGATTCATGATGGGGTGACAATGTGTGGTACCTGCCATCTTTATACTCCTAATGAATGATTCATTGGAGGTTGGGGAGAGGGTAGGTGGGTGGGGTGGGGGGGTTGCAGAGAGAGGGACAGATGGGTTACCTTCCTCTTTCTTGCTATTAGATGAACGTCACACCAGAGATAAAGGAGTTGTACGTCAAGTGAATAGCAACATCTCTGTGCGCTCTCTCCTCTCCAGCACTCTGCCTGTATCTGCTCCAGAACTCTCTCGCTCTTTCTCTTTCTTTCTGGACCTGAACACACCATCTCCTGTTTTTGCGATGTCCTGTTGGGACTAAAGGGTCTCTCTCTCTCCCTTTACGGAATTAATTTGTCTGTTTTGCTCTGTTTCCATGCTGAAGGTAAGCCTTTTCTTTCTGTCTTTCATCTTCAAAAGCTATTTTCTCTCCTCTGTTCCCCTTTCCTTTCCCCTCTTGACCAGTATATTCTGTGAAGCGCTTTGAGACGTCTCGAAGACATGATGATAATAATCCTTGCATTTTATAGAGCGCTTTTCACATCTCAAAGCATTTCACAGAATATACTGTAAAGTGAATTGACTGTATATTTGTGGGCGAAACGCGGCAGCCAATTGCGCGCAGCAGCGTCCACACAAACAATCGTCCAGTGAAGTGACCAATTTATTATTTTTTTTAAAAGGCGCTACATCAAATGTAAGGATGTTATTACGGGTGTGTGATCTGATCTGTCTTGACCTCACAGTGTAGGCCGATGGTTGTGGAGAGATGCATTATTATTTAGGATGAGATGTGAAACTGAGCTCCTGAGTGTCTTCTTCAAGTGGATGTTTTTTAAAAAAAAATCTCAGACCAGCCCGGCTGGAGCTCCAGATTAATTGACCGCTCTTCCCCTATGACTGCGTGTAGGACCTAACTGCGTCCAAAATGGCTGCGGAGCTTGCCGACAGTCGCTGACACTTGATGCGATGAGGTGCTGTAACAATGTAGGGTCTCTTGTGGTGAATGGACGTCTTGTGTGTGGAGCTGTAATTGATGCGAGGTTCGCACGGCCTGGCTGACTGAGGCTGGGCGCGTTCCTGAGTGAGCTCCATTCTTACAGACAGTGGGCGTGGTTGGTGCCCTGGTCTGACCTGCCTACTCCGCTTCCCATAGCGTCAGCCGAGTTCGGACACATTGCACGTTTAGCACAGGCGTCGCTGACTGTAACGGCCACAGTTCTGCCTCACTTCACTCAGTTCCCAACCAGGGTCCGATTTACTGTCTGTGTCCTCTGAACCTCTATCCTCCTTCCCCCCCCAACCCCACCCACCACCACCACCACCACACACACAAAACAACAACAAGTTGTGTTTATATAGCGCCCTTCATGCAGGGTAGCGTCCCGGAGCGCTTGTCAGAGATCCCGAGCCAGAGGAAGGTGACCGTAAGCAAAAAAAAATGCTTCAGAGGGGTATTCAATTTGTATTTGTTCAGCGTTTTCTCTCAAACCCTTTACCGTCAAGTGCAGAAGTGACTGTTAAAGTAGTGGCAAGCATTTGTGCACACAGCAAGGTCACCACAAAACAACCGTGAGGTTTTGGAAAAATTAATTCTGGGGAGAGGAAGGTGGGGGGAGGAATTGTGGTCAAGACACTGGGAGAAACTCTCTTCTCTTAAGGTAGAATCGTAAGATCTTTAGTGTCCACCTGACGGCTAGGTAGACAAAGCCTCAGTTTAAGGTCTGACCCCCACCCCCCCACACCTTTCTCCCCACCACCCCGTCCCCAGGGAAACGAGGGGAGTATTTGAAACGAGGGGAGTATTTGTCAGCAGGATGTGTGAGCGGCTGCTGGCTAAAGATTGGGAACTGAGACAGGATCCTACAGGAAATGCTTTGGTTTCATTACTGGAGTCTGTTGACTGGCTACTGTAAACATGTAATCTTCAGTTGGCAAAAAAGAGCTGGGCTGGAATGTGTGACATTCTCTGAGGAATGGAGGCATTGTGCTGTGCTCCCCTTCCCTAGGCACAGTGCCTGGGACTGGTGATGTTGACTCTGGTTACCTCTGACTAAGTTTCTACCTATTCCCTCCCCCCCCCCCCCCCCCCCCCCCCCCCACACACACACACAGTCCCCCTCATCTCTATCAAGTCTCCTCTCAATCTTCTCAGTTCTAGCTGAAAACAGCCCAAATTTTGCTAGTCTCCCACCAGTAAAGCCTACCATCCACATCTGCCTGCGGTCTCAAAAACTGCAAAGAATATTTTATTTGGATTTGTCATTATCCTACAAAGAAACCCCGCTAAATAGCTGTCTAAATCCATTTGTCCAGAAATCTCCCTAAAGCAGCTTGTTATGTCTTTATGTATTGGCTAGAAACCTTGAATTGCATGGCTAATGGATTTATGTTTGGATTTGTCCTGTGATCCCTTCATAGTGTACTCCGTGCTACAGCAAATCACTGAACCAAACCATTGACTGGCCCGAATATCCTGTAGGCCTTGTTCACTGATGGGTGCAGTACATTCCATTAGATTTTCATATAAATACAATATGTAGGGATATTTATTATACCTTAGATTTCAAGAAGTAATGAGAGCTTTTTTTTGGTCTGGAGATTACTACAACAGCAAATCACATTTGCATAAGCGCCTTTCATGTCGAGAGAACGTCCCAAGGTACTGATTAGGTGTTTGAGAGGAGATCTGATAGAGGTGTTTGACGTTATGAAACAGTTTGATAAAGTGAACATTAAATTACTGTTTCCACTTGTCAGTGAGCCCACAGCAACAACTTGCATTAATTTACTCGCATAGAGGCTAACATCTTGGGAGTACTTGACACTGGCGGGTAGAAGAGTTTAGCAGGAACTTCTTTACACAGTGGATAGTGAGAATGTGGAACTAACTGCCGGAAGCTGTAGTTGAAATGAGTTTTAAGAGGAAACTCGATGGGTACATGAGTGAGAAGGAAATACTATAAATATTTACAGTACAATAAATATTACAGTTCGAGGCGTATAGAAGAGGGAGTTAGGAGCGGTGGAGGCTTGTGTAGAGTATAAACACTAGCACTAACTAGTTGGGCCAAATTGCTGAGAACAGTCTGAACAGTTCACTTTAGTTCTGTGGAACATGTATGCGAGAAGGCCGTAGAGAGATTCAATAAAAAAGATGTAAAACAATCTCTGTAGTTCGGAGGCCTACGTGCGACTTTTTGGTTGGAGTAAGTGGGGCTGATCCCCTCTCGTACTGGGAGGGGGCAATGTTTTGTGAACCCCCCCTTTTTTATTTTCTTTTTTCAATCCCATTTGGGGCATTGACCCACATCGACCACAGTAAATGCTGATCCGTTTATTCCTTTCTCTCCGCAGCACAAGTGGCTCAAGCGAAAGAGGAGCATGTGGGAATGCAACAAGTGCT